GGCCCCAGGCTGGGCCAGCTGTCCTCCCAGGCCTCTCTTATCCCCTTGCTGGAGAGACAGCTGCTGGGTATGCAAATCAGCCAGGGCTCAGGGGGGCTGCCTGAGGAGCTGTGTGGTTTCTGATGGGGACTCAGCCTGACCGACTCAGGGAAGGGAGGACTGGTCCCTGCAGACCCCACCTCATTCCAGGACATCCAGTTCATCCCCTGGTGCCACAGCGTGGACTGACATCTCCACCCCAGACTGTCTCGTGGCCTCACTCCTGGGCTGACCTGGTCCCAGCAGAGCTCATAGGTGACATCTGTCTGCACGTTCTGCACCCACTATAGAGTGTTAACTGTAGCAGTGACGATATGAGCCTGAGGTCTGAGCAAGGTCCCACCCCAGTGACAGTGTGTGAGCATCAGAGCCTGAATGACACTCCCACCTTGCTCAGGGCACGTGCAGCACTTGGACCCTCTGAGATGCTGTCAGTTTCTAAGTCAGATTCAGCTCCTGGGACAGGTCATAGATGCTGTGCCCCGTGTCCCCTGTGTGCGCCAGTGCCAGGGTCAGCCCCAGTGCTAGAAATGGTGTGACAGTTATAGAGTTGGAACAGAAATGGGGTGGCCTGGACAGGAATGAATTACCCAGACCTGAGATAGATAAGTGACCAATTCTACAAGAACCCAATCTGAGAGAGTCAGAGTCAGTACGTTATGTCCATCCATGTCAAAGGTGATAGTGTAGAAAACCTACTACTCTTCCTACAGGTTGTTTCTGTGGTTGTGGTTAATAACCCCCTGTTTCAGCACAATTACATTAATTCAATTATTAATAAAGGACAGATGATTCAAAACAAATTATAATAATCCCCCTGCATGGTAGAATTCCTCATGGCCAGGCCCTCCCAGTCTCCAGGAGGCTTTGCCTGGTGGTCTCTGCTGCCCCCTGGTGGCCTCCCCACACTGGCTGCAGGAGGAACAGGTGTGTGCTCTGTCCAGGTGCAGAGGCTGAGCCCACTACTCACGTGGTAACTCCCTGATCCAGGGACGGAGGGTCCCAGGGGGGATTGGTATTCTCTCCATAACCACCGCCGGCCTCAGGACCAGGCACAAGCTGTTCAGATCACCCATGGAAGTATGAACAGGCTCACTGGGAGGAGGAGAGGGCGGGGCCACCTGAAGCATCTCTGATACATTCCTGGGGTGGCGGTTTGATTCTAGCACTTGCATGGGGGACAAAGAACACAGGGACTGCCTCTCACTGATGCCCACCGCCAGTGCAGATTAAAAATAGGGTGCTGCTGGCATTGCCCCAAAGACTGAGACAGAAGACACCCAGCAAACACTGATTCAGCCCCACTGTGTCTGCCAGACACTGCGTCCTGGGTGAGGAGTGTGAATGGGACCAGTCCTGCCTCACAGATGCCAGTGTGCACATGGGGGCACACAGTAGACACGCTGGTGTAGGTGACACAGCACAGTAACCACAACCTTCTACCTGCACCTTGTCTTCCATTCTCTGTTCAAAGACAGACGATTGCTCTTCCAGGGTCCCTCTTGGCTGGTGTTGAACTTGTGGCTCCGTGTTTACCTGTGGGTGTCTCACTCAGCTGGGTTTTTTCCCGTGAACAACTTGAGCTCTTGTGAAGGAAAGAAACAACAGACTAGATTTGTGCAGCTCCTGTCCCCTTGACTCTGGGTGTGATAGCTGAGCTGCAGCGGCCACACTGAGGTCCGTCTGCACCAAGAAGGAGAGCAGAGCCTGCACTGGAGAGATGTTGGTAAGAAAGTGAGAGACGTGAGGACCTCCCAGGGCAGGTGAGTGTCTGCGGAACACCCGTTGGGCCCAGACTTGTGGCTGCAGGAGGAAAAGAGGCTCCTGTCTGTCCACGTCTCTTATTGTCATGTGTGTGTTTTGAATTTAAAAAATTCGTGACTAGTGAGGAAAATAATAGGCACTAATAAATTAATCAAAAATGAGAATAATTACAGGGGAATAATTGTGCAGCTGTTGTAGTATTCACATAATTAGTTGAGATCAGATAAGAACTGACAGGCAGGTCCTGTGTGGGGAGAGGCTGGAGGGGTCTCTCTGGAGGGGACCCTGGAGCTGCCGTCAGGGTGGAAAGAGGAAGTAGCAGGAGGAAGTGAGTGTGGGGACAGCAGGGTCCGTGCCCTGGGGGGAGGGTCTGTCTGTCTGAGCAGGAAGGACAGTGAGAAACTAAGGTGGTTATGGTGCAAACCAGGTTGACCCAATGTAATGTGAATCTGTCACATTGAGGCATGAAGGGCAGGACTGATGTCACACTGAGCACAGGCACCTGGCCCAGGAGTCAGAGCAGCTGAAGGGGGATCTAGGGGAAGGAGGAGTGTCCTGTGTCAGCCAGGTGAGCGTGCAGGTGACCCACAGGGACCATCACTGCACAGGGGCTGCTGCTTCCCTTCTGGTTTGCACAGGAAGTCACACGGGACCTTCTGTCCTGATTCAGAGAATTCTGACAACTCATCACTCCTGCTGCCGAAGTTACAAACTTGTGAGAAATGTCACATTCACCTGAACTAGGTGTGAGTGAGACACCTGAGTTATCATAACAGGTTTCTCTTCCTCTCAAACCTTTGAGGTCACATTGTCATATTTATACTTTATCGTATATTATATACCACAACATACATTGTTAGTGTTTTTTTGCCTAAACAGTGATATCTTTTATGGAATTTACCATGACAAAACGTTTCATATTTGTACATGTAGTAACTATACTGGATGCCGTTAATTTCTCCGTGTCGATCCCCATTTCTCTCTGACTCGGGCGGGTCCCCTGCTCTTCCTGGTACAGAGCATCTGCGGGTGTCGGTTCTCTAAGTGTCCGTACATCTGAGAGAGTTTCACTTTACTTACTTTCTGTAAGATACTTTCACTGGGTAAAGACTCGAAAGTGGACATGTTTTTATTGTCATTTAGTTGTTGCTTTTAGTTTTCTAGACACTCTGCCCCCCCTCCCCCCGTCTGTGGTGTTTCCAGGGAGACCTCTGCCCTGGTCCCTCTGCTCTGTCCTCTCCGTGGACGGGCCCGAGTCTCTGAGGCTTTTGTGATTTTCTCGTCGACACTGGGTTTAGGAATTTGGTTGAGATGTTTCTTGGTGTTTCATGTATATTGTTTGATCTTGGCTTTCTTGAGTATCTTGGATTGTAGGGTCTCAGTTTTCACTGAAATCAGAATATTTTTGGACAGTATTTTCTCAAGTATTTTGTCTACCTCCCCCAGACTTCTCTGCTTCAAAGACTGTGATCATGTGCCTGTGAGACTCCCCCCGTGCCTTCCCGCACACTGACGCTTCCGTGTGTTTAGTCAGTGTGGTTTTGTGTCTGTGTCTCATGTCCTCTCTGTAGTTTCTCCCCCACGTCATCTATCCCCATCTCTCCTCTGCGGAGATGACCCTGCTGTCAGTCACATCAGGGTCATTGTGTCCCAGACACTGTAGTGTCTGCATCTGTGTGTTGACTTGGCTGGGGTTTTTGTCCTCCTTGTCTGCGATTACCATGTCAAGGATTCTCCTACAGACTGAAATGAATGGAATATATATTTTCTTAAAATCTTTCACTAACTATTCAATCATGTGTGAGATTTCATGGCCAGTACAATTGGTTGATTTTGTTTCTTATCGTAGCTGGTATTTTCTTGTTTCCAAACAGGAATATTTGATGTGACACCAGACTTGGTGAATATTTCCTTGTTGGTGAACAATACTGTATTTCTATAATATTTTGTCTGGTATTTTAGGTTATTGCAGATACATTAGAGTTAACGAAACAGTCTGATGCTTCATCAGTTGTGCTCACACGTTCGTAGGTGGGACCACAGCAGTGAGGGGTCAGGTGCTAACTTCCCACCTCGAGGCCCAGCTCTCTGACAGGTCCATCTGGTGTCCTGACTGGGACTTGTCCTCTCTGACTGTGGGACAAGTGTGACTTCTGATTGTGTGTGTGAGCTCGGCAAGTGGTCTCTGGGGTCTCTGCGTGGTTCTCTTTGGCCTCGGGGGAAACCTCACACCGTGTGGTCATCAGAATCTTGAACACTGGCAGTCAGTTCCCGGGGGCACATGGGGGATGGAGAAGCACATGCAGGAGGGTCAGGGGTGATCTTTCCTGAGCAAATGTGAGAGGCAAGAGTGGGGACCTGCAATGTGGTGACAACTGAGGACTCAGCTGGGAGTTCCTGTAAGGTCATCCTGACCCTGAGACACCCTCTGAGAGGGGCAGGACCTTGAGGGGTCCGTCCACTCCACCAGGAGCACTTCCTTGTGAGGGTACTGCTGCGAGCTGCCAGGACCCTGCAGGGGGGCGGAGGGAGGGTGAGTCCTGAGGCGGGGATGCGGGAGGGTCCTCAGTGTCCCCTGTACAGGTTTGCTCTGTTCAGAACCGAGGCTTCCAGGACATCCCAGGGGCTCCTGAGCTTGGTTGAGCTGGGTAGTTCCGGGAATAAATCCAGGAGAGGTGACCAATGAGGGGCCCAGTCACCATTACAATGATAATTAGGGTCCATTACCAGGGACTGTGTTCTTCTGTTCATGCTCTCTGTCTCCCACACACAGGCCTGGAAACATCCGGTCAGCCCTGTCCTGTCAGATGGAATTCACTGCTCTCCCACCCTCTGTAGAGCTGCCTCGTGCTGAGGAAGGGGCCACCTGAGGATCTGAGGTGTGTGGACCTGGTCCAGACCCTTTCACGGCTTTGTCTTCTGTTCTATTTGGGCTGGAGGAGAGTGTGACACAGAGGGGGAAGGGGATTTTTGTCTCACTTCCCTGTTGGCCTGTGTCACTGTGGCATTACCACTGTTGTCCCATGTCAAACAGTAATAGTCAGCCTTGTCCTCAGACTGGAGGTTGGAGATCGTCAAGTAGCTGTTGGCCCCAGACCTGGAGCCCGAGAAGCGGTCGGGGATCCCATCCCCCTTGCTGTGGCTTCCACCACTGTTAACATACATCAAATACCGAGGGGCATTCCCTGGCTGCTGCTGCTGGTACCATTCAATGTAGTAGCCGCTGTGCTCACTGCTGAGGGTGCAGGTGAGCTTGGCTGAGGCTCCCAGGGAGGCAGAGGCAGACGGGGGCTGGGTCAGCACAGGTGCAGCACAGAGACCTGCAGACACAAAGCACAGGGATGATGCCGAATGCACCCAGACTGGACAGATGCCCAATGGGACTGTGCTTGGAGGGAAGCTGTCTCCCTGTGTGTCCAGGGATGCCCTGACCTGTGGAGAAAACCAGGAGCAGGAGGTAGAAGGGAGCCTAGTCCATGGTGGGAATGGTTTCCAGGAGCTCTGCCCTGAGGCTGCCCAGCTGGCCCTGGCCTCTCCAAGCCCCTGTCTTATCCTCTCTCATAGCAGCTCAAGAGGGAGGAGCATGAATGCAAATCTGTTCTCTATTCTCCCCTCTGAGCCCTGAGCCTAACAGCCTCCTGCTGGCAATTTCCTGAGGTCAGAAGAAGGTGCAGGTGTGGGTTTCATTATTAAGAGATTTTACCCAATAGAAGTATCTTCAAAGGAGCCTCAGTCATGCCCTTTGCACTTGAACACAGCCAAGGGCACCTAACCTATAAATTTCCCCAAACAAGGACCCACAGTGTCCCCCGGTGTCCACGGGATGGGTATCATCCTACATGTGTAGCTAATTCATCAGATGGATACTTCTAAGAACTTAATGCAGGGGTGTCAAACTCAATTTCACCTGGGAGGGCCACATTACCCTCGAATTTGCCTTCAAAGGGCCGAATGTATTTTTAGGACTGTATAAATGTAACTACTCCTTAACTAGGGGCAAGGACATTGGCTCTGCTGCCGAGTAGAAACAAGGTGCCAGGCTGGATAAAACAAGGTGGAGGGCTGGATCCTGCCCACAGGCCTGGTGTTTGCCACCTGTGACTTAAAGGATGGTGAGCCTTGGGGAGTGTTTTATATGCACCCCTAACCTGGCATCACAATAACCTGACATCAGAATATCCCCACGTCATCCCTGAGCTGCAGGCCCAGTCTGCCCTCTTCTCTGGTGGGTAGGAGGCTATGATTTTGAGGTTATGATTTTCCCAGAGCCCCCCAGACAGTGATGATGAATCAAGACTTCAGTTCAGGAGTCTGACCCAGAGCCCGAGGATTGGGTCCTCTCCTTGCCCCGCCCCTCTCTGGGCCCCGTGTCCCTGCTGCCCCTCACCCCAGGACCCTTGTCATCCCCCTCTACTCTTTTCCCAGGTCACTGTCCTCCTGGAGTCTGCTGTGATGAGTGCTTAGGTCCTCACATGTCATCACCTGCATTTCCCAGTGACACGGGGTCTGTCTGTGGGAAACACGGGACTTTCCCAAAGCTCCCTCCCTGGCAGAGGGCGCAGGGTCCTGTGTCAAAGGGGCATTGAGCATCAGGTGACAGGAACAGGGTTCATGTCCGGCTGGGTAACAGTTTATGTCAGGGTTGTTTTCTCACGTGGTCAAAGCCGTTGTGTTTTGACCAGTGGCAGTATCAAGACACAAGCCTTTCAATTTTATAAAACTGTAAAATTTTACATTTTCAAGAAAGCACTTTTTACCTGCTGTCCCAGGGAAATACATCGGGTGTCAGCCTGGTGGTGCTGAGGGTGCAGTGAAATGAGTTCACGCACAAAATGCTGGAGGTGTTGTGCTTGGAGGTGACAGTGCAGCCTTTCGTGACTCATGTGCACAGACAGACAGACAGACCCCTGACTCACTCCCCGAGTTTGGTCTGAGAGGTAGTGGAGAGGGGACCAGGGTCTGGTGCCTGAGACACGTCCCCCACTGTCCCCAGCTGAGGGGACCACAGCAGCTCCTCTCTGCCCTTCCCACCCCGGGGCGTCCACTCCTCACACTCACACCTCAGGGTCCCCATGGGTCCCGCTGGCCACTCCTGCAGGCCAGTGCTCACACCTGTGCAGTGGGTCTCCTGACCACCTTGAAGGTCAGCTGTGAGTGCCACCCTGGGACATTTCACCTCAAACTGTGATCCGTGCTTGTGAGGGAGGGAAATATATTCCTTCTTAAAAATAGCAAGTCATCCTGCTTCAAGAAAATATTTCCGAGTCTTCCCTCTAGGTCACTGCACAAAGTACAACATTATGACTTGTATGAGGTTTATGGAAACAATATCCCCACTGAGAGGGAGATTATTCATTTAAAAATACAAAAGAAATATTGTTATCCTTACACTGACTACTAATAAATGTGTTCAATAATCCCGATTTGTCTTTAAAGCTGTAGTTGTATTTGATATTGTGTATTTGAGAATGGAACTAATGTGGACGCACGTGTAAGTATTTCCTCCATGTCCTCTTCTCAGCCTTCTTGGCTTGGTGGAAAGGGGAGCAGCTTTTCCTAATGAGGCCTCTGTGTCATGAGGCCCTCCATCGCCCTCTGATGGCTTTCACATGTACTGCAGGGACAGTTACCCAAGGAACCTCCTCCCTCTAACCTGCTCTGTCCAATGTGGTGGCAAGAAGTCATCACAGCTGTTGGGCATGAAATGTGAGTCGTCCCCGGAGAGATGTGCTGTCGTTCTGAAAGACACAAAGATTTCAAAGCCAGTTTAAAAACAATGTAAAATATATCAATAGTTTTATATTTAATTCACATTGAAATATTTTCTTATTTTATTTTAAAAATTTTATTGTTATTGTATTGCAGTTGTCCCAATTGTTCCCCCTTTGTGCTCCTCCACCCAGTCCACTTGCCACTCCCACAGTCAGTCCCCACAGGGTTGTCCGTGTCCGTGGGTCATACTTGTTCTTTGACTAGTCCCTGCCCCTTCTTTCCACCATTGTCCCCTCCCCCTCCCCTCTGGTCCCTGTCAGTGTGTTCCATGTTTCCGTGCCTTTGGTTCTAGTTTCTCATTAGTTATTTTTGTTCCTTAGGTTCCTCTGATAGGTGAGATCACATGGTATTTTTATTTCACTGACTGGCTTACTTCACTTAGCATAATATTCTCCACCTCCACCCAGGATGTCTCAAAAGGCAGGAGTTCCTCCTTTCTTTCTGCTGCACAGTATTCCATTATGTAAATGTGCCACAATTTTTTTGCTTCACTTGCTTACTGATTGGCACTTGGGCTGTTTTCAGCACTTGACTGTTGTAGACAGCACTGCTATGAACACTGGGGTGCATAGGTTCTTTTGGATTGGTATTTCAGGATTCTTAGGGTATAGTTCCAGCAGTGAATTGCTTGGTCAAAAGGCAGTTCCATTTTTATTTTATTTTTTTTAAGGAAATTGCATACTATTTCTCACAGTGGCTGTACCAGTGTGCATTCCCACCAACAGTGCAGGAGGGTTCCCTTTTCTCCACAACCTTGCAAGCACTTGTTTGTTGGTTTGTTCACGATGGCCATTCTGACGGGTGTGAAGTGGTATCTCTTTGTGGTTTTAATTTGCATCTCTCTGATGGCTAGTGATGCTGAGCATCTTTTCACGTGTCTTGGGCCATCTGTGTGTCCTCCTTGGAGAAGTGTCTATTTAGGCCTTTTGTCCACTTTTCAATTGGATTGTTCTCCTGCCTGGTGTAGAGTTGCATGAGTTACTTATATATCTTGGAGATCAAACCCTTGTCCGATGGCAAGGTCATTGGCAAATGTGTTCTCCCATTCGGTCATTTCCCTTTTCATTTTGATATGGTTTCTTTAGCCATGCAGAAGTTTTTAAATTTGAGGTAGCCTCAAACAAATGAAATTTTTAGGCATAAATCAATAAACTGGCAAAGAATTTTATGCTGAAACTATTGTCTATTCATGAAATTAATAAAAAATCTAAATGGACAGAGAAGCACACTGTGTTTATGGGTTAGAAGACTCAACATAGGAAAAATGTTAATTCTCCACAAACTGGCCTGGAGATTTAACAGAATGCAAACAAAAATTCCTGTACATTTGTTGTGGATATAAACATAAAGATTTTAAAACTCACATGGAAAGACAGAGGAACTAGACTATCCAAAATAAAGAATAAATTTAAATAAACATGTTTATTTCTTATAGTCTTAAGAATAATCAAGACAGGGTGGAATTAGCAAAGAATAGACATGTTGCGCAATGGAGCAGAATGGAGAATTTAGAAATAGACCCACAACAACATACTACTTAATCAAATCTTTTTGTTGTTCAAGTACAGTGACCTCCATTTCCTCCCACCACTCCCCACACCCCAACATCTAACTGAATTAAACAAAATCTATCATGAAAACTAATTCCAACAGTTTCATCTCATCTTTTAAATGTGGACCCTGTAAATTTATAGTCATCTCTGAGTTTCTGATGGGACAGGGCTGGCTGCACTTTGCAGTCCCAATACCAGTCACTGGCTTTACAGAAAGGAGAAGGTCTCTCTGGCATTTGAAGGAAAAGCCGATCTTAGTTTTAGAGCCAATGAGAGGCCACAGGATGGAGGCGAGGACCTGGGATTCTGGGGCTGTAGCCCTGGTTTGCTGCTGGGTCCTCCCCTTTCTGATGCAGACCTGAGACAAGGCTGCTGCCCACCTCAGCTTCTCCGTCTGTGAGGAGGGAGATGACGAGAAGGCTTCTTCATCTCGTATTTGAGACTAAACAATTTAGTAAATTTAAAGTGCTGTGAATGTGGTGACGTGTTTCAAACACAGATGAATGCTACTCTTCCTGCTCTTATTAATATCTTATCCTTATACTTAATGGGAAGCAAGGACAACAGAATGGTGTGCAAAGGAAATCTTGGAAATGGAAAGTCTGGGACATCGGTCATCGAAACTCTTCTTGGCTGCACAGAGGTGTGCAGGCCCACACACACCCTGCCCTTAGCACAGGCCCCGAAGGCACATCCACAGACTGTGACATGCTCCCTGGGTCTCTGTCCTCAGGCACATGACCCTGGTCCTCAACAGAGACCACACTGGATTGCCCAGCAGGACCGCCAGACACATGGCTGCAGAGAGTCGAGATGTGTGGTGTGAGTCATGTCACCCTACTTTCCCCCCTAGAGCTGGCCCCACACCTGACTACCCATCCTGGGAGGGGACCTGGTTCTGTAGAGACTCCAGCCTGACCTGCATGGCATTGACCTTAGGGCGTGTCCTCTGACCTGCCCACTGAGAGCAACATGGAGGTCTGGGTGGCAGGTGAGGACTTGAAAGAGCAAGTCCCCTGTGATTGACAGATGGTGCCTTCCTGTGGTGACTGTCACTGAGCTTTGAGTGGCAGGTGGACAGCAGTGAAACCTTCCCAGTGTGGTCCTCAGAGGGGACGGTCTGACAGGCAGGTTCCCGGGCCCACCCTGACCTGCTGCAGCTGCATCATAGTCCATCCCAGGAGACCTGTGTGCCCTGGTCTCAGTCACCATGGAAACTCTCACTTCCTCCTACTCTGTCCCCAACTCCTTCCTAGGACACTGGGGTCTTGGTGCTGAGCTGTCCTGCCGTCATCAGACTGAGCTTCATTCAGGTGCTGGACCCCATAATGTGGTGGAGAAAAGTGTTTTACAAACAGTCACATGGGAGGTGTTTGGAGAGAAGGTGGGATCCCTTTCTAACCTTGGTCTGTGTTACTTTCTGCTTCATTATGAGCAGATTCTGTTGCTCTGACACAAGAGCTGAGTGTTTTCTCTGCTAGCATCTCATGGGCTGTCGATCTCATCCCGTGCATTTTCAATCCCCAATATTACAGCTCTTATATCTAGGTTTTCAATTTGCATTTTTTGGCCATGTGCCTTCCTTTGCCGACCCAAATCATTTGTCCACCCTTATGAGTGGAGGAAATAAGTTACAGTCATCTTTTCCGTGTCCTAGTCCACAAATTGTGTCCTCTGGACCATGTCAGGGCCATTCTGGAAAAAGTGGTTTTAATATTCATAACCCTTCCTGTTTTCGTGATTCTTTGCAGGAAAGTCTGACAGGGGGTCAGACAAAGGGACTGATTCCTATTGGATCAGGAGCACGTGTGTGTCCCCCTGTGTTGGGCATTCCCATTTCCTATTGAGTGACTTACTGGTCACAGGTCCGTCCTGTTTCCATGGCCCTGGAAATACCAGGTCAGGCCCGTCCTGTGAGGCTGAATCCACTGCACAGCTGCCTGAGATCTGAGGTCTGGGGACCTGGGCCAGATGTGCCCGTGGCTTTGTCTCTGGTCCTGTTTGGGCTGGAGGAGAGTGTGCACAGATGGGAAAGGGGTTTTTGTCTCACTTCCCCATCAGCCTGTGTCACTGTGAGAATTACCACTGCTGTCCCATGCTGCACAGTAATAGTCAGCCTCGTCCTCAGCCCGGGCCCCGCTGATGGTCAGGGTGTTCGTGTCCCCTGAGTAAGAGATAGAGAATCGATCGGGGATCCCTGAGGGCCGATAGTTGTTATCATAGACAACTGTTACAGGGGCCTGGCCTGGTTTCTGCTGCACCCAGGTAGCATAATAGGTTTTCAGGGCCTCTCCCTGGCAGGTGATCCTAGGTGACTGTCCCCGGCTCACAGACACTGCTGGGGGCTGAGTCAATGCAGAAGAGGCCACGGAACCTGTAAGAGAGGACAGGAGAGGTGAGTGTGAGGTTGAGGGTCTCCTTCCCGGATGGAGCACACCCTGCAGGGTCCCCTGGGCTGAGCAAAGTTCAGGGTCAGGTTGCTCCCTGGTTTCTGTGAGGGCTTAGCCTTGGGAGTCAGCACCTGTGCAGAGAGTGAGGAGGGGGAGCAGGAGGGGGGTCCAGGCCATGGTGGAGAAGCCCCAGGATCTTCCTCTGACCCACAGCTGATGATGTGGCTTCGGGGCCTGTCTTATGCTGCATAAGGGGCTCCATGCAAATCCACTTCCTTCCCCTCGTGGCCTTGCTGAGTGGCACCCGCTGGGCAGAGAGCAGCTGGGGCCAGTGGAGTGTTTAAAGCTGGGTCCTCACCTCCAGGTGTGCGCCCGGGTTGCTCAGAGCTCACTGTGGTGTTGAGGGGAAGGTGCTGACCCCTGACCAGCCCCTGCACCCACAGGTGGGCTGAGTCTCCTCTCTGGTCTTGGGGAGAAGGCTCAGTCCCCTCCAGGGATGAGATCACAGTGCCGTGTGGGGTGGGGGTGCTGGAAACAGGAGCCGGTAGGGACAGTGGTCAAGCTGGTGCAAGAGGCTGGACTTTGCTCCAGGACACAGTGACACTGGTCACATGCCTCTGGGGGAATTTCTATTACATTTTAGAAAAAAAAAGAAAAATCTTTTTTGCATTGGTCTTGGCAAGGGTTCTTAGATTTCATAGAAATGCTTGATATGCAAAAGTATAGAAAATAAATGGAAACCCTTTAAAATTGAAAGCTTTGTTTTACAAAAGCTTAAAGTCTCCTTTAAGGAGTTAATGTAAAAATACAATAAAGTGGGAGAAAATACTTGGCAATCCCAACCCATCAAGGAACTATGTGTATAAAGTTTCAAACTAATTAATACACACAGCAAACAGCCCTGGGCAGGGGCTCAGTTGGTTGGAGTGGTGTCCTAATGCACCAGGGACTGGGGTCTGACCCCTGGTTGAGGGGCAGATGTGAGTCGGCCAATGAGGGCGTGGATGGGCGGGGCAACAGATGCACATTTCTCTCAAATCATTTAGAAATTTTAAAAAGTAAACAAAGCAAAATTCAATTTGATAATGAGCAGATGACACAGACAGTTGAAAAAATATACACATGTCAAAAAAACACAGGAAGTGTTCATCAGCAGCGACCAGGGAAGGTAAGTTAAAACCAGAGCGAGACACCTGCACACCGGTCAGCACGGAGCAGACTGACTGAAGTGAAATCGGGGCAGCACCAGACACTGGTCAGGCAGCGAGAAGGGGGTCACTCACTCAGTGCCAGTAGGAAAGTCAGAGGGCAGAGCCACAATGGAAAAACAGCTGTGTGGTTAGTATAGAGCTGAACATGCAGTTACCATACAAGCAGTCACTGCATCGTTGGGCATTTATTTCAGAAAATTAAAAACTTACGTTTACATAAAAACCCATACACAAGTGTTCACAGCACCTGTCTAGTCCCCTCAGTATGTGGTAACCAAACACCAGCGAGTTGCTTGTTGGAAGAGAGAGAGAGAGACAGAGAGACAGAGAGGCTCTGGTCAGCGATCCCATCAGACCAGAGCCCCACCCATGACACATCTTGTGGCTCTCATCATTTCCTTAGAGTTCCCGTCTCCACATACAGCTACACTGGGAGTAAGGACTTCAATGTCCGAACTTCGGAAGACACAATCATTCAGTTCATACCAGCGCCCTTACACATAGGACCCCCAAGCTGAAAACAATTCAAACTTCCTTCAGGGTTATGGTTAAACAGACTTTGGTACATGTGAATCACAGAATACTATTCAGACATAAAAAAATGGACTATGGATACACACAACACCATTGACAAGTGTATAAGGAAATGTGATGAATGGATAACCAATCACAAAAAGTTACATGCTGTAGGATTATTTATACACAACTTTTCTAATGACAGAATTTGGGAGATGGAGAAGCAGGTGATGGCTGCAGGGCTGAGGGGCAGGGGAAGGGTCTGGGTGGGAGGAGGTGGGTGTTGTAAAAGGGAAACATGAAGAGTCCACGTGTGATGGGATTGTGTGGAATCCTGACCGCTGTGGTGGGCACATGAGCTTGCACATGGGAGATAAGTGCATAGCTGTGGCCGGTGTGGCTCAGTTGGTCTGAGCATCATCCTCTATTCATAAGGTTATGGCCTTGATACCTGGTCTGGGTACATATGAGGCAAACAATCAATGTTTCTCTCTCTCCCTTCCTCTCTGTCCCTTTCTCTGTCACTAAAAGCAATGAAAAAAAGTCCTTGGGTGAGGAAAATAAATAAACAAATAAATAAAGTATATAAGAAAACACACACACTGACATACTCAGAAACAGGAGGATCCAAATTTTAAAAAATATCTGTAGATCTGATCCAACACTTCACCAACAAAGAAGATGCACATGTGAAAATAGGCACCTGAAGATCTGCTCACCGTCACAAGTCACTAAGGTGATGAGCACGACAGACAGATACAGAGGCACACACACCATGTGGAACAGGAAGAAAGTGGAGAAAGGGGTGTAGGACACGGAGTCAGGTAAGACAGGGTCAGCTGCTCTGGAGGGATCACACAGAACCTGACCAAGAGGGAGAAACCCAGGTCTCACCAGGCTGACAGACAGACAGACAGACACAGAGAGTGACAGTCTGAGAGATGCAGAATGCACCAAGGGAAGGGGACAGCTCACCACACACACTCTCACTTTCGGCCCAGCCTGCCTGTCACCCCCACAGCCACATCCCCTCCGGCTGCCTCCAAGGGCGGGTCCTGGCACCTGTGTCAGCTGCTCCCAGAGTTACTGTCAAGAGCTCAGCGGGCTTTAATTATTCCCCTACTGTACCAGTGACACCGTGTGGTGTCCATTCTGGAGATCCCAGCTACAAGTCCTGGGATGAATCCCACAATCATGAGACAGGACTGGCTTGAACCTGCTCAGGTGAGTGCCCGGCCTTGCCCCTCACCTACCTGTGAGCAGCAACCAGATCACTGTGGTCCACGCAGCTGCTCCAGGCTGACTCTGTGGTGTCGGTGTGTGTGAAAGGTTCTGGTATTTCAGTTCCCGGGAAAGTCAGCAGAATATCAACCCACCCACTAATCCTGTCTCCATCCCCCCACAGATGCGGCTGAGGCCGGTGACCCACAGGGCAGAGACTGGAGGTAGGAGGTCGTTGACATATTTTCCACCTCAGCATTCCCATCCCCCGTGTCCCAGTGGACATTGTCCTGGCCTGTCCCTAGAAAACTCCCGTGGGCAGATGTGGAGCCTTCCTTGGCACCACAGGCTGAGAGTCTGGCACAGCTGGGGGACCCAGGCCGTGTTCCATGTGGGTCCTGCCCCAGACCTCCCAACAGGCACCTGCTTCCCTCCAGAACCCAGCTCTGCCTCCACATTGGGGTCAGTTTTCTCTGTCCTGCCTTTGCTGAGGGACAAATGCTTCCTGCCCAACCTCAGTCCTCACAGGACTTCGTCTTTATTCCCAGGTGTCCTGAGCTAATACAGTCACTGTTCCCAATTCCAAGGTCATCCCTGGAATGTGAAGGTCTGCGTTCCTTCCTTGAAAACAGTCCCAAAATGGGAGCAAAGGCCACATGGTTCCTGGGGTCGAGGTCATGTCAGCTCAGCTACTTGCTCAGGGTCATGCTCCTGTCTGGGCTGCTTGAGTCTCTGCCAGTGTCCTGCCTACAGCCCTGTATTGGGGGAAACAGGACGTTGCTTTGTGAAAATGACCTACATTGTGACCATATGTGACTTTCCCCAGTGGGGGAGGAAGTACAGGACGAGGGGATTTGCAGGGGAAGATGTAAATGTCTCAGGGTCCTGGGCAAAAACAGGGAGCAGCGTAGCCCAAGTGCCAGTGGGGGAGGGGATGAGGGATGGAGGTTTGGGCCTTACTCTCCCTTTGTTTGTGTTACTGTGGCTTCTGTGAAAAGGCCGTCGTGTGTGTGGCTCTCACCACAGATATACTTAGCTTCATTCTCAGACTGGAGGTTGGAGATGGTTAAGTAGCAGTTGGCCCTAGAGCTGGAGCCCGAGAAGTGATCAGGGATCCCGTCCCCACTGCTGTGGCTTCTATCACTCTTAATGTACATCAGGTACCGAGGGCCATTTCCTGGTCTCTGTTGATGCCAGTGAATGGTGTAGATTCCGTGCTCACTGCTGAGGGTGCAGGGGAGCTGGGCTGGGGCTCCCAGGGAGGCAGAAGCAGATGGGGGCTGGGTCAGCACAGGTGCAGCACAGAGACCTGCAAACACAAAACACGGGGATGATGCCAAAGGCACCCAGACTGGACAGATGTCCCTTGGGACTGTGCTTGGAAGGAAACTGTTGGGGAGTGGGACCCCTGAGTGCCCAGGGATGCTCTGACCTGTGGAGAAAACCAGGGGCAGGAGGAGGAAGGGAGCCCAGTCCATGGTGGGAGGGGCTTCCAGGAGTTCTGCCCTGAGGCTGCCCAGCTGGCCCTGGCCTCTCCAAGACCCTGTCTTATCCTCTGTCCTCTTAGCTCAAGATTGTGGAGCTCAAATGCAAATCTGTCTCAGATCTTGTCTCAACCCCAAGCCTGACAGCCTCCTGCTGGTAATTTCCTGAAATCAGAAGAAGGTCCAGCTGTTGGTTTCATTAAGAGGTGATTTTGCCAAATAAAACTGTCTCCAAAGGAG